GTTTGAGAGGGCGGGGGGCTGGACGCGGGCGCGGGCGCTGAGCTGAGGCGAGGTGAAGGCTCGTATATTTATGCGCTTCAGGGCGCTTCTGGGCTTCGCAGACTGGGGAGTGCTGCCGTTGAGCCGTCGCTGGGGATGATGGGGGGTTTGCTTGCCCCAACCCCCAACGACACTCGAGTGCGGGTCTGGTGGGGACCCTCGCGGCCTTGGTGTTGAGCAATTTTACATCTGGGCACTGTCACTGCAGGGTTGAGTGTGTGTGCCCTGAAAGGACTGTGTAAACCCCTCTTGTAATCGGTTGTGCAGCTGCCTGCGGCCCCGCCCAAAGTGAGCTGGCTAGCTGGCGGTGTCACTGAGTCACCGGGCGGTGGCGGGCATGCGAGGCGCACTGTAGTCGGTCGCCTGCCCGGGTGGCGCGGAGGGTCACGATCCTCCACATTCGTTGCCAAGCATTGCATGTAGCATTAGGATCGCACATATTGCACCAATTTACTGAATGTCTTGCATCGCACTTGCGTAGAGCTCCGGTTCACTCTCCTGCCGACAGCCTCGACCCTGGAGAGCCTCCTGGGGCACGGGAGGGGGCATCAGATGCGGTCCTTACTGTAATAGTGATTTCTGTTTGAGAAGCCACTGCGATCCCAGATCTGCGAGCTCCGTGGCCGGCGAACGGCGATAGGGGTGGCTGCGGAGGCGGGAAAGAGACGAAGAGGAACACCTTACATATTTCGTGTGGCGTCCGCAGCACCTCGGTGAGCCTGCTCAGATCAAAATTGCCTGCTGTGCTGGCGAGGTCCGATGGGGCCCCATGCGAGTATTTCCATACCCGTGATACGATCCATGCTGACATTAAGCTGTTTGACAAACGGAGATGCACGCCACGGCACCGGCGTTGCGCAGGTCGGGCGGCATACAGCCCTGTGCCGGCGCCGCCCCGACAACACCAGAGCGGGGGCGATCGCGCTGGCGCCATCGCGCGTGTCGGTCTTGCCACTAGGGGTGTCCGCCTGATTTCATCTAGGTGAGCAATTTCGCTCATGGAGCGCTGCCGCGCCTTCGCCCCCTGCGGCAGCCGCCCGCCCCGTCCGCCCGCCCCTCCACCCGTTTGCGCAGCGCGACCGTGCGCGCCCGCCCAACGCCGCCCGCGCCCCCGCCGCGCTGCAGCCGCGCCGCGCCCGCGCCCGGGCACCCGCCAAGATGAACAAGACCATGGGGGGCAGCTACCACAACTTGGCGGCGCTGGAGGAGGCGCGGTTCTCGGACGCGCGCCAGGTCAGCACGGGGCCGTCGCCGCTGGGCCAGGCGGCGCAGAGTGGCAGCGCGCTGTCCCTGGACAGCCAGAGCGGGCGCGCCAGGTGCGCGGTGGGAAAAACGGGGCTCCTCTGAGTTGTCAGAGGTTGGGGGATTGAGGGTGGGAGCGGGAGGAGGACGCATGCCGCGGCAACATGCGGGGCGGCGGGCGCGCTCGCGGCCCGCTCGCGGTGCTCGCATGCATGCATGTGCGTGCGGCGCGAGCCGCGCCGCGTCGCACCGCCGCGCCCCTGGCGTCTCGAGCCCGGGGCGCCACGCGTGCGGCTGTGGTGGCAGCCTGTGTCGCGCTGCCTGCGAACGGCGAACGGCAACGGCCTCGTTGGTATGCCCTTGTCAGCCCTCTGGTTCGGGGTCGCTTCAGCCGTGTTTCACCGGCGTTGAGCGCCACCCCCCCCCCCCCCCCGCGCCCGGTCACACGCGCCACGCGTGCCGCTTCTGCCCACGCACCAAGCACCAAAAGCGTGCTTGCACGCGCTCTTGCATGTACGCACACCACCACCCTCAACCACCGTGTCCACACATACACACACACACACACACATACACACACGAGACCTCAAACACACACGCACACACACACACACACACGCCCCCCGCCCCCAGCCGCCTCATCATCGTGTCCAACGTGCTGCCTGTGCGCCAGCGGCGCGCGGGGTCCTCCTGGGAATTTGAGTGGGACCAGGACGCACTCGTCTACCAGGCCAAGGTGGGGGCGCTTGGGACGGATTCGCTAACGCATATGAAGTATATTGGCTGCGTGATATGTTGTTATCCTTTGTCTTGACGCCGATCGACGCATGCCCGACGCTGGGGTGGCGTCGGCACGCCGTGCTGTGTGTGCGCTGCACGCCGCAGACGCGGGGCGCCGCGGGGTGTGATCGGCGGCAGCTGCGGAAGTCGAGCACACCCGGGCCGGCGGACCCTCGCCATGCGGCGCGGCGCGCGTCGACTGACGCCTTTTTTCGCCCGCCCCCTCCATGCGTGTGTGTTCCATGTGATGGGAGCAGGAGGGCATTCCTGATGAGTTTGAGGTGGTCTACGTCGGCTGCACCCCCTCCGACGTGGACATCATGGACCAGGAGGTGGGGGGAGGGC